TAATAATAATAATAATAATAATAATAATAATAATAATAATAATAATAAAAATAATAATAATGATAATAATAATAAAAATAATAATAATTATTATAGTAATAGTAATAATAATAATAATAATAATATTATAGTGCTAACCAAATGAAAAGTAAAAAATCTAAATTACCTGACACTATTACCATGCAAGGTACCACAACAACCCTAAAAATATGATAGTTAAGATTTAAAAATCAAAATACATTTATTTGAAACCGTAAGAATGACTAGAAAATATTTTGTATTTTAATTTGTCGCGAAAATTATGAATATTAATATTAATAATAATCAAAATATTTTCCGTTTTTCGCCAACATATTTTTTTAATAAAGTATAAACATTTAATTTTAATCTAACAAAACAAATATAAAGTTAAGGTAGTTATTTTGTTATAGTTAACTTTTCAGATTTTATAAACTTTTTTAAAAGTTTATTAAAAAAGGGAAATATAAATTTCTTTTTATGAAATTTATTGACCAAATTTAAAATAAAAACATAAAAAGATTTGAGAACTTTTACAAACAAATTTTCGAAGTATAAAAGCTGTACCCATTAAAAATCAAATTTAATCTTATATTTCCATTTTGATCTTGATTTTATAAACATTTTGAATTTAATGTAATCTTTAAATGAGTTGTAGAAATCCCCCCCCCCCCTCCCCAGCTGGGAGCTAGGGTGTGTAAACTGTATATAAAATATCCTTGGGGTAAACATGGTTAACCTAACCTCTCCTCTCCTCACACTTTTTACAAGGTCAGACACTAATATTAGGCCAGTCACGTCGGACTAATACTAAGTAAAATCTGTCTGAAATATTGCTAAATAAAAGACTTCAATGGAGTGACCAGCTATGTATGGTAGTTGAACTGAGTATGCAGTGTTGTGGACAAATTCTTTAGGATTTATTTGAGACATATAAAATGTTTCTACGTTATATAATTACTAATCAAATCACTGGGACATGGACCTTTAGTTTACCGTTAGTGGGTCTATAGTCTGCAGGAAACCAGTGGTTTCAAGATCATCTTAAAATACTGATGGATGGGTGGTATTTAAAGGGACTGTAGAGTGTAGACGTAATTCAAGGCGATTCTTTATTTCTAGTCTTATAGAGTGGAATTTCCGATTTACATTGGTGTCTCCTTTAAACCTTTTTTATCAAGGATAAATGTGATATCCTTATTTTTCTAGCTTCAAATTGTTTTATTTTTCAATTGTGGTTCTTCTTCAAACGTAACTTCCGGATTTGTTATGCAATTTGTCTGAAGTCAACACGTCACATCATAATGAAAAAACATCGATATCTTGCTCGTTTTTACTCAGATCTGAGAGGTTTAATGAGTACCGTGTGTGAATCGGAAAAGCCTCTCCTTAACAATCTCTTTAACAACCTCTTTAACAAAATGACGGATTGTTGGTATTTAAGGTAATAAGAAAAGGGGGATCTTGTCACAAAAAGACCCTTTCTAGCAAGATTATAATGCAAGGAAAGTTAATTGCAGTTGCGTGAACTCTGCGTACATATGGGAACCAGTTCTCTTTGGGCGGGATTTGTAAACAAGAATAGATGCATCAGTGTTCGTTTAATATCCGAGGAGGTTAAAAGCATTAAATTTTGATAATTTTGATTATTCACATAATAGTTTCCTATGCCCAGAATATTTCGTTGATTTTTTATGTGAAAGATGGATCCCATGTCAGGCTTCGACATCCGTCTTGTGTTTACATTACCGACCAGAGACAGTACACTGCAGTGCAAAAGATGCGTACACCTTTGAAATAGCTTTCCTTGCATTATAACCTTGCTTTATAGTCTGTATTTATTGATATCCGCACATTCTTCTTGTTAGACTATGGCGAAAGTACTCGGAATTCTTTACAGGACGTCCTATATATTTTTTGCATCCAAATGTATTTTTTAATAATTTTTTTCTTTTTAACAAAAATCTCATTCCTAATGAGGTCGCAAAGACAATCTTACAAACTTAACAAGTTTCAGTTCTGCTAAATCGTGTTTACGGGTCATATTTAAAAATGTTAACCTTGTTTAATAAACTTTGTTTCACAGATTATGTTTTTGTATTTTTAAAAGAAACTTTACATCACCACATCACATGACTTTATTTTAGATAATATCTCAGCATCTAAACTCCAAAGCTCAGGGGGTTTAAATATTTTTCTACTGAGCTAAATTGTGTATGTAGCTAAGTTTATGAAAAAAGTCACTTTCATGATATGCCATGAAAAACTTCCCCATAGTACTGCCCCATAGACATATTTTTGCAGGGAGAAATAAAAAAACTTTAATTTGAAAAAAATACCTTATGAAGAACTTTTCTATCGAAAGAGGGAGAATCTCTATCCCTTAAACTTTGCTCAAAAACTCCAAACCCTAAAACATAAAAAATGTTTTCAAAATTTTTTGTATAATCGGGACCAGTACAAACGTCGGACCCACAAACGTCGGACCAGTACAAACGTCGGACCAGTACAAACGTTGGACGGTACAAACATAAGACTTACAAACGTCGGACCAGTACAAACGTCGGACCAGTACAAACGTTGGACCAGTACAAACGTCGGACCAGTACAAACGTCGGACCAGTACAAACGTTGGACCAGTACAAACATCGGATCAGTACAAACGTCAGACTGGTACACACGTCGGACCAGTACAAACGTCAGACAAGTACATTTATAAGGAACAAACGTCGGACTAAGGAAGAAAAAATATATTTGAATTTTTAGATTAAAATTCTTGTAAATTCGCAATTTTCTCTCAAAAAAATTCCCAATATTTTTGTTAAAAATTCATAATCTCCTAAAGTCTGGATACATGGACGAGGAGACTGCTAACTATATTGAGGTCAAGCAGAGGGGACGGCACCTACTTGATTAAAATCAGTTTGAATATAGGGTTAAAAAGAAGAAACCCAACAAAACCTATTACAAATGCATTCAAAGGAAAAACAATTCTTGTCCTGCAGGAGCAGTTGTAAATAATGAGAATGACAAGATTATCAGTTTCCTGGGATCTTTTGAAGAAAAGGGTACGTGAAATAGAAAAACAAGTAGTTAAAGAATTGCAGAATTCTTTGTTTGAAATATCTAAGGTCTACAACAGCGGGTTGCAAAGATATATGGATTAAACTGTATGATCTTGTAGAATTCATAGTTTGAAATTTTTTAAAACAATGATCCATTCAAAATCTACCAAGTCCGACGTTTTTTCTTATTATTGTACCCATCCGACGTTTGTACTGGTCCGACGTTTGTACTAGTCCGACGTTTGTACTGTCCGACGTTTGTGGCCTCCGACGTTTGTACTGGTACCGAATAATCAATGTCATAATTTTTGGTGAAAATGTAAGAATTGTGTAATAGACAAATACTTATTAAAAATGTATACAAAATAAATGTAAAGTAAAAAGAGTGTGTTGCAATAATTCGAAAGGTAATAATTTATGATAAATTTTACAGATTGAATTTTTACAAGATTTCTCCGTGAAATGAGTACACAAAATGGTTGATATCATATATACTTAAAATATTTGATTACAGCCATTGAAAACATTTTTAAAAAAAGCTATTTGTCGCTAACAATCTGCACCGTGAAAAGATTTTTTGCTTGAAAGTAAAAAAAACTTAAAAATTAATTTTGTTTCGAAACAAATATAAAATACCTGAGTCGGTGGATTTACATGTTGCCACTCCGCAATTGTTAAACATCATTTTCGCGAAAATCCGCGAAAATAGTCACCGAAATATCACTAATCACTAAAAATAATCACTGTTGTTCAGAAATAAATAGTTAAATAAATAAATAAAATTGTTGAGGAACAGTTGCGTAGACAGCTACATCCTGTGTCTGCCTACCATACCGATTAATCGGAGACTGACGCTTTGCGTATATACCCAGAACCCAAAACGGACGAAGTTTCGGGGACCCGGAGATAGATAGATTTGATGGATAAAGATAGATAGATAGAAATATTTTGTCCGAGAAAACTGCATTTCCGTTGTCTTGAACCAGTTTCATACAGGATACTGCAGAATACCAGGATTCCAGGATACTAGGATACCAGGATACCAGGATACCAGGATACCAGGATACCTGGATACTAGGATACCAGGATACCAGGATACCAGGATACTAGGATACTAGGATACTGCAGAATACCAGGATACCAGGGTACTAGGATACTAAGATCAGGATACCAGGATACCAGGATTCCAGGATACTAGGATACCAGGATACTAGGATACTAGGATACTAGGATACTAGGATACCAGGATACTAGGATACTAGGATACCAGGATACCAGGATACCAGGATACCAGGATACCAGGATACCAGGATTCCAGGATACCAGGATTCCAGGATACTAGGATACTAGGATACTAGGATACCAGGATCAGGATACCAGGATACCAGGATACCAGGATACCAGGATACCAGGATTCCAGGATGCTAGGATACTAGGATACCAGGATACCAGGATACCAGGATACCAGGATACCATGGGATACTAGGATAACAGGATACCAGGATACTAGGGTACTAGGATACATACTAATACTTAGATACAGGTGATACAGGGATACAGGGATACAGGGATACAAGGATACAAGGATACAGGGATACAGGGACACAAGGATACAAGGATACAGGGATACAGGAATACAAGGATACAAGGATATAGGGATACAAGAATACAAGGATACAGGGATACAAGTATACGAGGATACAGGGATACAGGGATACAGGGGTACAAGGATACACGGATACAGGGATACAAGGATTCGGGGATAGAGGGATACAAGAGTACAGGGATACAGGGATACAGGGATACAAGGATACAAGGATACAGGGATACAAGTATACGAGGATACAGGGATACAGGGGTACAAGGATACAGGGATACAGGGATACAGGGATACAGGGACGCAAGGATACAGGGATACAAGGATACAGGGAAACATGATTGAAGTGTTCAAGGATAAATGCATGGATACAAGATTTCTACAAGAATACAAGGATACACAGCTGCCTTACTTAATACCAATTCCTGGATTTATGGATGCAATTATTTTGTTCAGTCTTGTCTGAAGTACCATCCTTTGTGGGTACCCCTGCAAGATAACCTTAGTATTTTACGCAATGCAGTACATTTAGAACTGGTTTTTCTATGTTAACAGTATGTTCATTAGCATAGTACAAATACGAGAAAAATATTTTTAGTTCAACCTTGACTACTGCTACGCTCATACTGAAGCAAATTTATCATGTGAGTTTGCGTATATATATTCTTCAAATTTGATTAATTATCTAATTTAACGTCATTAATTTCTTATTAAAACATCGTAGTTTACATGCTATGGTTAATTTTATAGCATTTATTTAAACTTTTTTTACAAAAAGATCTGGTTTTCGGGATTGTCGTAACTTTCAGTCATTATCCATAAAGCGGGGAACATATGATTCAGCTCAATTAAAGAAAAATAAGATTTTAGCCATTATTATAGATAAATCCATTTGTCTCATAAAAATCTCATTTGTTCTTGATTTTAACGTTTTTGAGTATCGGGTTGAATCTGATAGTTCGCTCTATTAACAGTATATGTATGCAAGTTAACCCTTTACATGCTGACGTCTGGTTTACAGTAAATACGGAGGGGGGTCCCAGGGACCCCCCCATTAATTTACTCAATGCGATACAAATCGAAAACATTTGATACATTTTTGGAAAACCCTTGGGCTCTACTTAAAATTCTGCAAAGAAATTTCAAATATTTTTGCAATATCAAATTATTAAGTAATTAAAAGTGCGCGAAATATGATAAATTTTACATTTTTGAAAAGCCCTACCACGGGGAAAGCAAATATGTAAAGATATTTGCAAAACTTGTAGAACTAAATTTGTAATCAAGGAAAAGTGAAAATGTGCAAGTTCTCTTTAAAGGCATCTCTGCAAAAATCTATGCAAAGTTTCTTCGCAAAAATTGTGCAATCTGCTTCGTTTTATTCAAGGCTTTCCAAAGAGCTTTAACAAATTAATCTAATGGCCGAAAGTGGGTCTAAGTATAGATTTAGTTGTGTATAGGTAAAATAAGGCATTCGGGCAGTAGACTCAGGCAGTTGGTATAAAAGCCTCGCTTCAAGCCTAAAGTGAGGGGTATGTAATGTATTTGAAATGGCATGGTCAATGAATTTTCAAAAATGTAAATTAAAAATTTATTTGACATTTTTTTGGCAAGCATTTTTTCTATATAACTGGATTTTGCTAATTTTTGTTTGGAGATTTCATAAGTAGAGCATAAGAGCTTGCCAGTGATATGTATCATTAGTCATTTTTGGACATCAAACATGGGATTACGAGAGGGGAGGTCAATTAACCCCCAACCCTGCAGGGACAGGGTTAAGTTATCATTACCCACATAGATCCATCTTAAGACTATATACATCTTAAGACTGGGTCGATATTAAACTGTCGTAACGTCTGGGTCTTCACCTCGTTTACTCTTGTTCAATAGCTATTATGATTTCAGTTACTAACTAAAGATTTAATTATTAAACTATAATTAATTTTGTATTCTTATAGGATGAGGATAATCGCTGTTTTATGTGTTCTGAGCGTAGTGGTTACCCAACAACATGTTAATGTAATTATCGAAAAAGAAGAAATGTTAAAAGTTGCATTCCTCCTTCTTAAACTTGGACATGAAATCGCCCCAGAGCCTCTAAAAAAACTTCTACTTTTCCAAGTTGGAGAAGAAATAGCTGCTGAGTCTGGACCAATCCCTGCTCTCAGTTTGAGTGTGGTGGTTAACCAACCAGGTCGTAATCCTATTCATGTTCGTATTCAACAAGAAGAAATATTAAAGGGACTGTAAGAGTAATTTCAAGGAACCTTCCATTTCAACGATTTGCTTTTTAAACCTTTGTCCGGACAACGATGAGGTAGATAGTTGTTTAGTTTAAGATTAAGTGCCCGGCATTATGGTTTCTGTAGAAGTAAATATTTGCATTTACTGATAGCACCGAATGAAGGATTCATAACTCTAATTGGATAATAAGATAGACGTTACCGCCATACTATTTCTATTGGTTCAGAATAGACAACAAACACATGACTGAACCATGATTGGATCATGCGCTAATTGAATCGGCATACAGGAGTTGCCTGGAATTGCCCGGATACTCGAGGTTGCAGTGTACACTGTTCTCTCCGTGCTAGTGTACTCTCGCACGGTTTCTAGGCATTTCATTTCCCGTTATAGAAATAAGAATATCTACGAAATCTTTGATCAAGAAAAGTTTTAACGGGTATCGTTGTAAATCGGACATGTCACTCGATAATTGGAAGATCGCTTAAAATTACGCTTACAGTCCCTTTAAAGGTGGCTTTCTTTCTTCTTAAACTTGGGCAGGAATCAAAAGAAGGATTAAAAGTGGCTTTTCTCCTTCTTAAACTTGGTTTAGAAATCGCCCCAAATCCTGAACTAAATGATCTATTTCTGAAACTTGGAGAAGAAATAGCCTCGGAGCCCGGGATGAAGCCTGGACTAAATCCTGTGCTCAGGGTTCTAAGTCTAGCAGTTACCCAACAAGGTCTGGAACCTGTTCTTGTTCAAATCACACAAGAAGAAATGTTTAACATGGCTGGAGTTCTTTATAAATCTGGACAAGATGTAGCTCAACAGCCTGGAGAGGATCATGGATCAATCCCTATAATGAACGAGGAACCTTCTCAAAGTACAGAGAGCGTTGTTTATCGTTATAAATCGTTTTTTTTGATGCTGCAAGTTTCTCCTCTCTGAGTCCAAATTTGGTATTTAATCCAAGAAAAACAAATGTTTTCAAATTGTTAATTCTATCTATCTCCCATTCTTCCTATTCTTTGACCAAAATATATGCTCAAGAATGTTAATAAACATTGAAAAGTTTGACAAAGCAAACTTAAACAGTTTTAAATGTTGGAAGCTTAAAAAAATAAAAATATAAAACGATGAACAACACAAGGTATAGATAATGGGCCTACTGTAGAAGAGGGTGTACTGGCCCCATCGGAACGGTGTAGATCAAATTTTGACTGCTTCCCGGTGTGCAGTGAATATGGTTACTGCCAAAAGTATGGCTATAAAGCTGGTGGCTCAGGATACTCTGATGGACGAGATCAAAGAGGACACGGAGGACATGATCAGAGAGGTGAAAGAGCAGATCGAGGATCCTGCAGAACAGATGCGGATTGTTGGCCTGTTTGTAGTGAATATGGATACTGCCAGAGGTCTGGTTATAAACCAGGAGATAAGGGGTTTCCTCATAGAAGATAGAAGAAGATTAATATTTTTTTTCAATATTTCAAGAGAAGCGTTGCAACATGTGAAATTATTTTTTAAAATTAAAATGTGAAAACAAATTAAATTGGCACTAAAGCTTAAGAGAAACTTATTACTCTGAAAAGTTTGTAAATAATATCAATTGTAGGTTTTACAATTGTACATGGTGTTTAAAAAATATATTTTCAAAAGAACTTATCTTTATAATAAAGCTCATATAGATATATTCGTAGGTTTCTATTATAGCTATAGCTGATAAATAACTTGAAGATAACATCGTTTTTCTAGTTTAAAAAGTGAAAATTTTTGATAATTTTTTAATTGTTGAATGTAAACTTTTAAGTTCAAACTTAACGGTTCTTTCCGAGATACAGGGGGGCAAGGATACAAGGGTCACTGGGGGGCAATAATACAAGGATACAGGGAGGCAAGGATACATGGATACATGGGGCAAGGATTCAAGGATACAAGGATACAAGGAGCAAGGATACAAGGACACAGAGGGGCAATGATACAAGGATACAGGGAGGCAAGGGATACAGAGGGGCAATGATACAAGGATACAGGGAGGCAAGGATACATGGATACATGGGGTAAGGATACTAGGATACAGGGAGGCAAGGATACATAGATACATGGGGCAAGGATGCGAGGATACAGGGATTCAAGGATACATGGATACGGGAGGCAAGAATACAGGGGGAATGGATACAAGGATTCAGGGGGACAATTATACAAGGGTACAAGGATACAAGGATACAAGGATACATAAATACAAGGTTACAAGGATACATAAATACAAGAATACTAGGATACATAAATACAAGGATACAAGGATACATATTACAAGGATACAAGGATACAGAAATACAAGGATACAAGGATACATAAATACAAGGATACAAGGATACAAGAATACAGAGCTAGAAAGATTGAAAGATATGTATATTCTGAGGCAGCCTCTAAGCGTAGGTGTGTTTTCTCCTCAGTTCTAGTTCTAAACTATAAAGAGAACCTTCGTTTTTCATTGAGAATACATAATTATAGAGTTGTCATAAAAACCACCATGAACACAGAGAATACACAATTATAGAGTTGTCATTAAACTACCATGAACATGGAGAGTACACAATTTTAGAGTTGTCATGAAAATACCATGAACATTGAGAGTACACAATTTTAGAGTTCTCATGAAAATACCATGAACAAAGAGAATACACAATTATAAAGTTCTCATGAAACTGCTTTGAACACCGAGAATACACACTTATGGAGTTGTCATTAAAGTACTATGAACAAAGAGAAAACATAATTATAGAGTTGTCATTAAAGTACTATGAACATAGAGAAAACATAATTATAGAGTTGTCATGAAAGTACTATGAACAAAGAGAATACACAATTATAGAGTTGTGATTAAAGTACTATGAACAAAGAGAATACACAATTATAGAGTTGTCATGAAAGTACTATGAACATAGAGAATACACAATTATAGAGTTGTTATGAAAGTACTATGAACATAGAGAATACACAATTATAGAGTTGTCATGAAAGTACTATGAACGTAGACAAAACATAATTATAGAGTTGTCATGAAAGTACTATGAACAAAGAGAATACACAATTATAGAGTTTTCATGAAACTACTATGGAACAAAGAGAATACACAATTATAGAGTTGTCATGAAAAAATCATGAACATGGAGATTACATAATTATAAAGTTGTTATGAAACTACCATATTCCTATTTTTTCTTTCTGAAAGTTTTAAATATTCAATCCCGGTGATCTGAGAATTCAAGACTTGAAGAAACGACGATTTCTTCCTCGTCCACTAAAGGTTTAAAGGTTACCGTTTTGAATCGGACTGATGGCAACTCTTTAATTGAAGGTTATTTGAAAATACTGACAGAATCTTAAATATTATTGGAACAGTGTCCGAATTTAATGAATTTAAGCCGCGTCTCAAATCCCCAAAAAACCGGTTTTAATTGAGCGTAAGCCTAAATCTTGAAAAATGAATACAATTTTAAGAGGAAGCAACTATATTTTAGCCGCGGCTCAAATTCTTGTATTGAAAATCCTGAATTAGTTGTATAGTATCTCTTGATAATTACACGCAGCGCAATTAAGACTCAATTCTCTCAGAAATCTGTCCATTGTAGATTGAGCTGTGTCCGATTTTACAAGGCCAGCTCATTATTGAAAATTTTATAACTCTAACTTAAACGATTAGGTTAAGTTTTGGAGGTTTTACCCTAAAGCTTTGTTCCACCGACTTGCCTTCCTATCAACTATTTGATCCTAACACACGATCATATTCATTCCATAGAAATAAAAGGCAAAATGCGACGAAATGAATTCAGTCTTTGCCACAAAATCAAGTTTTCAATATATGTGAATTGTGCAACCTAATGGTGTAAACCTTTGATAATTCAAACTAAGATTATTTGATCTGGACTCACAGAATTGATGGTTTGAAATATCTAAATTCTAAGGGTTTTGACGTTTATTGGATACAAACAAACAAACACTCAATTGAAGTATATAGATACAGTGGTAGTGGATGTCTGAGGGGGGGGGGGCGGCTTTGATCTCAAATAATCTCTGTTAATTGTTTATATATTTGACTCTGAACTAGGATATGATTAAAGGATATTATCTCATTGTATTCTATTTAATTGTACTTTTGTATATCCTGGCTTAATTAATGAGATGTTTAATTAGATTTAAACAATAACCCTTAAAGTAGTAAGTTGGGAGGGGGGGGGGGTGGTCGAGAGAAACAGCAAATTCCAAGATTCACATGGCCCTTAATTAATAATTAATTAATGTATAGTGGCCCTTTAAATCTGGATAAGAAAAAAATGACGAAATCCTTGCTTTTCTTACTTAAAATTTAAACAATTTTTATATTTTAATTTTCGCTAAGAAAGGAACTGGCGTCTGGATGCAGGAATAACAACATATGGAAGAAAATTAAAAGAGAATATCTCTACTCTTGAAATAGAAAAACAACGATATCCTCCTCATTGTTCGTGTTACTCAGATAAAGGTGAGTATAGGAACTATCGTTTTAACTCCATCGATGAAAGGAACTGCATTGTACCGAGACCTAGACTGCGCTTTTCAGACATGGGGCTAAATACACTCAGCTTTTTAGCCTTGTAACCCTAAGTTTATTGTACGTATACAATTACGATAATTGCCCATTTTATACCTCAAAGTATTCAGATATTCAGATCATAAGATTGGTTCAAGCACGATTTTGTAATCACAATTTAGTTTTGGTTAAATGTCGTCTTACAATTCATTTTATTCTTTGGGAAACTAATCAAAATGTCGTCTTTGCTCTGATCCCGTCTTTCAAAAAATTCCACCAAAACTACAGCATAAATGATACCCACTCTTTTTACAAATGCCTACCTTTTAAGATTTCCTTTTACATTATTTAAAAATTCGAATTCCCACTAACTACAAGGTTACCCTCAATTAGGATGAGACCTCTGCAGAGACGAATGTACGTAATTTATACTGAATCCTAGATAATTTTATCTAGGTACTGACTTTATATATTTATGATTCCCTTCACGTATAAACTTTTTTTCCCCTGACTAAATCATTAAAATATACATTTCAAGACGATATTCAAGGCAGAAGGTTTTATTTAAACTTAGGTTCGTCATTTTTAAATAGTTTCAAATCATCAATACATTCTCAACCTTTGCGGGTGACTCTGTATGAGGATTCTCTCCGATGCTAGAATTCCTTTTAATCTCACAGTCTTACGATTTGATTAAACCTTTAAAATTCCAATTTGCAGCTCTTTAAATTAAAATTTAAATTTCAACTCTCTAAATAGAATTCCATTTATTATAAATATAAAATTTCAGGCATTAAGTACCTTAAATTCCCCTGTATATTTTCAACTCTATAATACCCTCTATACATGATCAAAAAACATATCATTATGTTAGAACTATCGATAATGTCCAAAGGTAAACGGTTTGTTAGAAATTTATATTTCCTTAGGTCGGTTTTCCTAAAAGACGAAACTCTAATTGACAACTTTAAACTCATCAACTATGACTATTTAAGGTCAAATGATTGTCGATATTGTACGGTTATAGTTAAAAATACAATTTTTTGTCCCTAAAGCAGGAGACACAAGTTCCAACCCGTGCTTTTGTTCCAAACCTGACACTAAGTATTGTGATTAATGTTTAAGGAACTCTTTATTATGTTCTAAGGAACTCTTTATATGTTCTAAGGAACTCTTTATATGTTCTAAGGAACTCTTTATATGTTCTAAGGAACTATTTATATGTTCTAAGGAACTCTTTATTATGTTCTAAGGAACTCTTTATTATGTTCTAAGGAACTCTTTATTATGTTCTAAGTTCAATTATCAATACAAGAAACTATTTCAACATATTCACTTGGTGTCAGGTCAAGGGTTTCCACGTGACAGTAGCTGATTCTCTTGAGCAGCAGTTTTATGTCTTTGCACGAAATGACTTTTCTTGGCACACATTTTCACAAAAATTTTGTATCATTATGAAACCAGTTTTGCACGAAATTGTGCATTCTTTGAAAAAAAAATCATTTTTTTTGGCACGAATATAGTATTTAAGTCGTAATTATTGCATAATTTTGCGCATGAATACAAGGCAATAGTTTTTGCACGAAATTGAGCCATGCTCATGATAACGAAAAATTGGAATTTTTGTACAATATAGTGCAGGAATTCGAAAATAAGGAAAAATGTGAATTAGTTTTAGTAAAAATCAATTCTTATATACTTGCAATATTTTATTTATGAACAAAATAAAATTATTCATAGCTTAGACACTGTAAAAATTTTGATTACTTTCATTAAAAAAATTTTTCATTATAAATATGTTTGGAGAAAACGGTAAAAAGTCTTACTTATTGTTTACATTTCTCTTGTTTTTCTATCTACTTGTGTGTTACCTAATTGTTACGAAATAGTAGCTAGTAAACAACGAAATACGCAAAAACCAAGATTTTCTTCAAAATTTGAGTGAAAGAGCTTTTGAAAAATTACAACGAAATTTCGCGCAATTTTTACTCGAAACGAAAGAAAATCGTTACGCAATTGTTTTCGTGCAAAACTTTCGATTGGAATCACTTTACAGGTCTGGGGCAACTCACGATTTGGAACTGTCTTTCCC